CTCGAGGTGAGCGGTGAGAGGCTTTGGGGATTTCAAGGAACACACAAAAACATGTCTGCACTTATAACTGATTCATGCATTAATACCTATTAAACAGAAGTACTCAGATCTTGTACTTGAGTAAAAGTAGAAGTACTCAGATCTGGTACTTGAGTAAAAGTAGAAGTACTCAGATCTTTTAAGTAAAAGTAGAAGTACTCAGATCTTGTACTTGAGTAAAAGTAGAAGTACGCAGATCTGGTACTTGAGTAAAAGTAGAAGTACTCAGATCTTGTACTTGAGTAAAAGTAGAAGTACGCAGATCTGGTACTTGAGTAAAAGTAGAAGTACTCAGATNCCTCTCTAATATATCTAGTAATAAATTGTCTCTTTCTCTCTCTCACAAGTTGGGTTTTGGAGTCGAGGGAATATCAGTACTTGTGATACAGCCTAACGAAATAAACATACAGGAACACCTCGTAAACCAAGTGTAAATCAATTGCGTTAAATGAAAACTTAACTAAAAGTCCTCTTTTTACATAATTGCCGAACACCATTTTATAATACAAATGTTAGGATAACAGAAGCAAAGGGGCGGGATGAAACCACAAGCGCCAGTTTAAACTGGGCGGGACAATTGACGATAATGTAATTGTCTTTTTGGTTAATTAGTAGTGGGTTTAAAGTAATTTGTGAGAAAGTTTGACATGTACTAACATAGTCTGATGACCATATGTACTTTTGACGGTCATTTATATGTCGTTCTTATCTGTGACTTGTACATAACCACACGGTCCACACTAGGTACACCCCCCTCCCGTGTTTTCTCGCCCTGTACAACAGTTTAACAAGAGACACACCACACACACACACACACACACACACACACACACACACACACAACACACCACACACACACACACACCACACACACACACACACACACACCACACACACACACACACACACACACACACACCACCACACACACACACACACACACAACAAAAATAGACTAGGCCTACCAATGATTAAGGAAAAGAAATACGCCAGTGTGGTACCGACAATGTTTCAACTGATTTTAGAAGTTTTAAGTTACTTTACACTAGTCGTTAAAATATACAAGTTTACAGATGACACGTTCCTATAGTATTTCGGAATTACCGTTTAGCTTACATTTGTTTTTTCAATACTAACTACTTTTCATCATTTAGCCAGTCTAACTGGGCTTCTGTTGTCCTCCCAATTCTTCTTATGTTTTATTATTCTACATAAAATATCAGTGACTCTGTACCGATTATTGCAAATACAAATACGAAGGGGGGGTAAATGGAGAATGGAAGAAACGTTGGTCTTTATGGAGTATATGGAATATGTGAAATCCTGTGATAGTCATAAAATTTTGTGCGATTAAAAAGTTAAAATCTAGAAGAAAGTTTAGGGAAATAAGTCACAACAAGGTATTACCTTTGGATCGTTACACTTGTGGAGTGTCTGTGTGTTGCGTAGGTGCTATTTGGAGAAGCACCACACTCTCAACATGTTAAAGGGGAAAGAATAAGTTTATGTGTGTAAGTATTAAACGGAAGCAACTACAGCGGAGATTGGACGTCTACAGTCCAGAAAGAGAGGCGGAGTACTCCAGGCGAGATGTTAGGATGTCAAGTGTCCCAGATAATCGACGTCCGCGACGCGCGATATTCTTCCGGGTCACCACACGAAAAATATTGCACCTTGTGAACGGTGTAGGTCTCCACGGGTGACACAGCCGGACTGATCACCTACTACCGCTAAAGTCAACATACTTGCTCATCGACACTACTATGATTGGAGGACCGGTGTCTATCGGTACAGCTGTGCCCCACTTCGTGTCGGCCAACAAGACTTTACAGTGGTTCTGAGGGTGACAGGACTCCGGCCCCGAAATCACTCTCGCGAACTACATCTTACAAAGGGACTCTTTGGGATTGTTTCTGCCTGAACATAAATCCACCACACACACAAGAAGTACGTTACCGACGACTATTTTCCCGAAGGTAGGTCAAAGTAGGTTACGTAAGAACTAAACACTACCTCGCATTCATTGTAATGATAGAATTGCGATATTCGAAAGATATTGAATTCATGTTATGAACCTACCCCTGACACATGGTTGAATAGTGTGTTGTTAAGTCTCCTATTGGGATTGCTTGTGTCGTGTGTGTAGGTAACTGAACTAAATTCATGGGCGGGGCGGTAAATTGACATTCGAATGAAACGTCTCATACCACTTATATTCAATACATCCTCAACAAATCAGATGACCACCCATAACCACACCTATAACAACCTGCTAGATCCGGACATCTGACTGTCACCCGGGTTTGATAAAACCTTGAATTCTTTTTTTACAAAATGCTGATGTTGGAGTTGTGCATGTCGGGGAAGGTCTGCAGGATCTTCCTCCGCTCGTCTTTGGCCCACACCATGAAGGCGTTCATCGGCCTCTTGATGTGCGGCTCTGCGGTGTTCCTGCCCCGAGCCTCCCTGAACACCCGCGCCTCCGTGATGTTACTGCCTGTGAGACACAAAGGAAAAACATTCTCTATATTACAGCTGAAACAATGAGTTAACGACATGTTGTTTGACAGAACATAATAGCCAATTATCTTGTAATGATGGCCGAACATATGGATATTTCCTGCTTGCCTCCATTCTTAACCACATTGAACTACATTGTCTCTGGGTTTTGGACTGACAAAACATTTAAATTACAATGTCATTTAAATGTTATAAATAAACGTTTAAATAAATTATTACATTACATTACATGTTACTTGTTAGATGCTTTAATCCAAAGCGATTTACATACTCAATACTGTGGGCAATCTCCACAGGAGCAATTTGGGGTGAAGTGTCTTGCCAGGGACACAACGACATGCTGACTGCAGGAATTCGGCGAGATTGACAATCCATAAGCGTACTAATTGTTGTACTTGAGTTAATAGGTCTATGACGTTTTTTTTCCTTTCTACGTAGGTTTTTCTTTTAAAGGGTAAAGCCAGGCCTGAATAGGAAGTAAGGGTTGAATAATTGTTTTCTACGGTAAGTGGTGTGTCTCTGAGGTAGGTCTGTTTATTTTTCAATTTGAAAAGTTTATTAGAAAAAGTGTCTACGCAGCACAAAATTTTGAGCCAATTATTTTGCGCAGGGATTTGAGAAAACCCAAGTCCACAAAAATTAGAACATTATTTAGAACATAATGTACTTGAATTTCCACCCCATCAGTAAGACCTTCTTTTGGTCGACTCACGGCGTCTTAATTCTTTATGGTGTCAGGCCTTTTTAGACGGTGAAGGAATGTCTCGTGGGAGGAGGTTGTGTGTGCTTGCGCTGTACTGGTACTCCCGAGCTCTATTCAAACACGTGTCTACCTTCCGCTGTCCGTCCATCCGGTAGGTCAATGAAATTCGGCCGGCCATAAGTAACCAGCACGAAAATGTCGCGGTTCCGGAGTGTGTCTACGTGTAAAAAAATACCTAAAAACAGTTCGTGAAGTCTATAAAGTAACGTAGAGCCTACAAATTCTCGTAAGGTACCTTATATTGTGTTTCACATAGAAGCTCGGCCAAAGAGTCCTTGAATGCGATTGGTTTGGGAAATCTGTCCTTTTAGTAAGTTTCAAGGTCTATACAAATCAGTACATATAGAAGATTTATGAAAGAGAGGTCACAAACCCGGGATAAGATTTCAAAGTCTATGGATAACCGCACAGGGTAAGTGTTAGAGGGGTAATACGGAACTACTAACAGAGAGAATCGACAAACACTTGTTATACTGACTTACTTTAGTCGTTACAAAGTCAACGTAGCATTAAGTGAACGTGCTCGAATATGTAAAAGATAAATAAAGAACACAACGTCCTCGCGACGTGATACTTCTTGCGACCTCGGTGGTGGACCCCCTTCGAGCCCACTGCTTACGACCTTTTTTACCACGTAGCCCACTAACTGGACTGCTCTGGTCTTCTAGACCTCATTCGCAGAGGAAGTATAAAAATGCTGGTACAAAGAGTCGTAATAGAGTACTAAACAACTTTAATCCGAACAAAGAGGATGAAAAGTCTCAGAACGTTTGGAGTAAAAATCAAAGGAGGATTAGAAAAACTAAGGATTTATCAATACGTTTACGGCTTTTATGTAGTATTGTACCTTCCGACCTCCCTATATACTCCTTCCTCTTAGACCCAAAAGACTCTTCGTCCCGAGTGAATCTTCGCTCCAGTGTAGGACAAGGTCTGATTTAACTATGGTTCACTGGGAATTGAGGCGCCCCACGAGCATCTTTGCTCCGGGGCGAACGATCACAACCGACCAGCAGAGTCTTTAGGGTGTTATGTCTTACTTACTAGCAGTTCTCTTGTACGTACTAAGTACCCTGGTGTTTATAAATAACACGAGGAGTCCTTCCTGTGGGACTTGTCGATTTTGTCACGCAACAAGTTACAGTTGTACATGCGAGAACCTTTTTACATGTGACAATAAACAAAAGAAGGACCATAAATTCATGTGCTGTTCTCCACTTAAAAAGAGGAAAAAATAGTGGCTCACAAACCCCTGTATTCTAGGGTGGTGTCATGTTCCTTACCGCTTGTTTTGCTTCTGTCGTTCCTCACCAATCACAGTTTACTCAATTGTTCGTATTTCTTTAAGGAATAAAATAAGGCAAACGTACGACAATCGCCTATTATGAAATATTCCAGGGAATATACTTACTTCAGCTTCCTGTTACCACAATTAGAAAAAAATAGGTTTGGTGGACAAACGAGTATTTGCGGGTGTCACAAATGCCCCCGTACTCCTCTGAGGTAACACCACCAATTCAATTCTAGTCTCGTGATTTTGTGTGGTCGTTCCCGTGACTCTACCGATTAGTCCGCCTTCACACACACACACACACACACCACACACACACACACACCACCACACATCCCCCCCCCGCCCCGCCACACACACACACACCACACACACACAACACACACACACACACACCACACACAACACACACACACACACAAACACCACACCACACACACACACACCACCACTCGTGCAACTCCCGAGGCTCTGGGGGTAGTCTGGAAAACAATATGAAAACAATATGTAGGAGAGGTGCCTTGTCCCCCATTCTTTGTTTGTCTTCCCGAGTAGGTATTGTCTCGTTATAGGACGTAAAGTTCACACTTTTCATACTTTCTATTTACAGAGCTCTTACTGTCCGCACCATCATATCCCCACTAATAAATTTAGGAGTTAATTTCTAGTTTAGTCTAAAAAAGAACTAATTAGGTAATGAAAAATACCAGGTACTTTACATTCTTTTATCATGGTTTCTTTTAGGTAGTCCCAACAATCAATAAGCCATTCGCACTTTCATACTGTCTATGTACCAGGTTTACTTTGTGTCACAGCGTTCTTAGTCGATATAGTAATTAGTTTATTTACCGACCAATGAAGGAACCAAATTAGGAAATGTAGGATACCAGAAAATTCTCAGACTTTTACCATTTTTTTTTAACCAGGTTGGTCCCATTTTTTA